AAAAAAAAAAAAAAGTAATTGTCTCACACACTGAGTATTCACACTAAATTCAGATTCAGAAACTGTGTCATGTTGTTTGTAGATTTTGAGTATCTTTCAGCTTGCTTCCAATTAAATTAAATTATAAAGACCAATGTCAATTTTCTGGATGTGTTAGTCATGGAAAGACTGAGCACATACTCCTTGCCTAGTGTAACTCCTTGCCAAAACTGAACCTGTAAAATCACTGTGATTGTCGTCGTGATAGGGATTCTGACTTACTTTTGTCTGCTTTCCTATTTTAAGCTGCAATTAGGTAGGCTGTAGGATAGAAATAGAATGAAAATCATAAAAAGTCAAATTTGCTGACAAAATACATGGAATGTATTACTTTTCTCAGTCTTTTAGTATAACAATAGAAGGAGACAACCTTAAAGACTTACTGGGCAAGTCCTACAATCTTTGCTTAAAGTGTATAGGAAAATAAGATACTCTTGTTCATAACTGGATGAATAATTTGCTTAAGTTTTGTGTAAGAGATGAAATATTCTGCCTTGGAAAGAGAGGAAGAAAGAGGTCACTCTGCTAAATCAATGGTCTTGAGAGATAATGCTGATCTGAATTTGACCAAGGGGTCGTCTACTCTAGATTTTCAAGTTAACTAACTTTACATGATGCTAGTAGTATCTAAAAGTAACATGATATAAGCCTTAGCAGAAGCTATTACCTCCTATCACTTAAATAATTTCTTACAAAGGCACTCTTGAGAGCACAAGGAATGCAAGGAAGGCTAAATGAATAGTGACTGAAGGCTTCTCTGTCATCTGCTGGAACATCACGGCCTTTCTCACAACTTCTGATTTGATTTAGTGCTTGCTTTATCTTGCAAAATCTGCAATGTTCTTTCATTCAGAAACATAGATATTATTTAAAAAAAGCTCTAGCCTGTAGCTGACACTGTAAATGAATGCAAATTCAGTCATTGTAGTTAGATTAATCTATCTACTATCTCAAATCTATGCTTTCTTTTTTAGCTACCCCAATAATAAAGAATAGCAATCTCTTGTTTACTAGGTCTATATAAAGTTCAAAGGATGAAAGAAAGACTTAAGTAATGCATTTTCTGTTTGTTTGCTTGTTTTTTTTTCAGGAGTGACTAGATACATTTATTGGATGAGTGATACTTAACAGAATTAAAACAACTATTAAAATTATAGAGAACTATTTGCTGAAGAGCTGATGATGAGAAAGTTACCTCATTCTTTATCTCTGTGTATTAAGTATGGCTGCTTGTCTGTAGCAAAACGAAATGTGCAATAGTTTTTTTTTTTTTTTTTCATTTGTCATTAAACCTGTCTGTTAACAACAAAAATTAATAATAGTAATTTCTTACCAATTCTTAAAAGATCTGTCCTCTCACTCAATCAGTTACTGAATAGGTGAACTACTATCACACCGCAGTGAGATAGTTTTATTTTTTTTCTTTTTTTCTAGTGGAGATGTTAAGGGAAAACCCCATTATGTGTAAATTTTACCAAATAAGCAATGCATATAGAAAGCAGTCTGTTTTAAATCTGCCTTTTAATAGTTCTGGTAGATATTTGCTGTTTGTAATGGCAGAAACGTTTTATGAAGACAGACACTGGAGGAGGGAGGTTTCTTAGCAGCAGTTCACATCTTGCTTTATTATGGGGAAATATTTTGCCCGCGGTGTTTAGATCCAACCTTGTCATCCGCATTCTGCTTTTAATGTGCGTGAAGCACTTGGAGACGAGGTGGAACCACAGCCTTCCCCGTCCTCCTGGCCAGCTCCTGCCTCTCCGCAGGGTGACCCTTTCTCAGGGGACACAAACTAGTGTCTGTCAAGCAAGTCTCTCCTCATGGTCCTACAAATGTCTGTCCCCATCAAATCTCTTAAGCATTTCTGTAATATTTTGGTTGTATCTGAACATTCAATTGATGACTTGGCTTAAGTATATTTGACTGAATTAAAGCATAAGGAAAGCATTTGTGGTTGTCTGATCACTGAATGGAAAGAAGGCAGAGAAAAGTGTCCTTGTGCCCTCCCTCTAACCATGCCAGGGTCAAACTGAATCTGACCCAAAATGAACTGTGCGTTGTTTTCACAGTCAAGAAGACATTGTCACTGAATTTTGTGTTTTGTAGATTATTAAAAAAAAACTTTGTGTTTCATTCATTAAAAAAAGAAATGCTATCACTCTGAAAATCTTTGGAAGAACTCGTAGAAATGATTTTATTTTTTATCAGTGTGGAGTCCATAACTTTAATAATGGCCCTGTACATAACATAAGTACATAACAAGCAATTTGCCATCATCTGATTGTTTTTCTCCACTCTCTCCCTCTTTTTTTTTTTTATTTTTTTTTCTACTTTTCTTTTGAAGGTTTATGTGTCAGTTGATTTGGGGAAAAAGTGGATCCTGCTGCAGGAGAGAGTTTCAAAAGATCATATTTTTTGGTAAGAACCATTTTATTCTCCAAATAAAATGATGAGTAGAAGTATTTGATTCTAATCAATTGCAGTGTTTTTGCAATTACTGATAAGGACTGTAGGAGCCTTGGCAACTTGTGCAGTGCTAGCATGTCAGCATTCCTTCATCCACTACTGCAGATTTATTCTTATCTGCGGTCTGTGGCCCCCAAAATTCAAAGAACTTCGAATGCTCAGTGAAGTTGCTCTTCCTTTTGCTTGTAAAATTGATCGTTAGAAAAGAGAGCAGTCTTTCTGCAGAGGAAAATCTGTGAAATATTGAAGAAAATTTGAATCAGACACATTGACTACAGCCATATATTAATTTACACATATAGCTTTATGGAGTATACACACCCATACACCGTATGATCTTATTTTTATTTTGAATATTTTCCATCTCTCAAAATATTTATAAAGTGATCTTTGAAGATTTAGAAAGTTGAAGGTTTAAAAGGTTGAAGAATAAAAATGCCTTTTTATATACTAATGAAATCACTTTGCAAATTTTTGCACTGTGAAATTATTGTGTAAATTTTTAAATTCAAATTAAGAGTTTTTATTATGCCAGCAATTTTAACTGATTTCATTTTTAAAAGTGGTCAATTTACACTCACAACACTTATTTGATGTGAATTTTAATTCTAGAGGCACTCTGATATGTGTTGATTGCATAAAGTATAATTATCTGTGTGTTTGTGGAGTGACATCTGGCTTTTGGCATTACTGTGTAGTTTGCCAAGTGGTGTGGCCAGTTCTCAAATGGATTTACCTGATTTCAGCTGCCCAATTTGCTACGTGTTTGGCATTCATGCTGTTCATGTTCCTAAGGCAGCTGCTGTCCACTTGAGTTGAACTGAATAATGATCCTGGCAAAAGGCAAAAATGAAACACCCCAAAGCAGACAAACTTAAGCTTCTGATGTAGAAGTTGCATTTAATAAAATACACAGAGCTGTTACAATACGTGGCCCACATAGACTGTGGCAATGAGTCCCAATATGCAGCAGTCCATGTGGTGCCCCTGGGGAAGCAGGGCAGGATGGTGGCAGTGGCACATGAACAGGTTGAGCTATGCCAGGTTCTCCCCATTGCACAGAGCTGTGAGCACAAGACCAGACCTCCCCTGGTTGCACTGTTGTCAAAATTGCCCCCTGGAAATACCAAGGCAACTCTTTTTGTACTTCCCCATGTCTCTTTTTCAATGTTATTACTTCAAAATCATGTTTGTCCGTAAACTTCACATTCAAGTAAGAGTAACAAGCTGTAGTAGTTCGTGCATTTTTGTCAGTTAGGAATCTTGGTTTCTTTTTTCCTAATTTCCTTTGATTTCTAGCAAGAACAGTAACAGCTTGCCACACCAAGGATTTGGGGTCAGGAACTTAGTACTTTATTGGTGCTGAATGATTATTCTTCTAAGCTTTGTAAAAGCCAGAAAAATAACAATTATAAGATCTTTTTAGTCTATTACCATGTGGTGTTCCACATCACAATATACCTTTTGCAGAATCTGCTTTGAGTGGAGGGTTCAACTATGCTCTGGTGAAAGATGCTGTGACTATGTGAATTTTCTACTTTTCCGTGGCCTTCATCTTCTACCTGCTAGATAGAAACAAATATTTGTGCGGTTTTCAGTGAGCGTAAATCTATGGGCTTTCTCATGCCTTGGCTATTTCTGCTCAGTTCAGTGCTCTTTTCTTGATAGTATGCAATATCTGATGCTTTAGATGGAGGTGAAATGAATCCAAAATAATTGCCCATTTTTCTATAAATGGAGGAGCATGACTTGCTGATATTGGCTGGTTTTATCAAGAAGTATTACATTTTACTGGGCAGCTGTTTCTTCTTTGATGCCAGTGGAGCTTTGCCTTTATATACTAGTTGATGATCTAGCCTCAGATTTTTATTTTAGCCTGGTAAGTGCAAATGTAATCCATCGTAATATTTTCCAAGGCTCTTTTTAAAACAATTTCCTTCTAGGGCTGCAGCAGCAGCCAGATCTTCATGCATATCCTGAAAAAGCCTTTTCTGTTCCTTACTGAAAATATGAATGAATTTAATTGAATGTCGATTTATAAGATGGGAAGGTCAGTAGGACTTTAGTAGCTTAAAGTATTCATGTTCAGATCAAATACTGTAAGATACTGCTTGTATATAAGCAATATATTCAAATACTCTTCTAGATTTTATTTGCTTTTCAAGAGTTCTGGACCATTCCTTACATACCTTTGCAGATTCAACATATGGAATTCAGTCTTTCATGATAGTGGAACTAACTGAGATATAGTTATTGATATCAGTGGAAACTGTCTACTGTCATCTTGGTTTTAGGAGCATAGAATGTTGTCTTCCTTTTTCTTATTTAGAGTGGCATCTTTGGCCTCTCTCAGTCTTATTACCAAATTCTATGTTCTTTTGCAAAGAAAACTCAACTAATCCTTCCAGATAGTTTTTCTTCTGTTAGAGGCTTAGGAGGTGGGACCAAAAGGCATATAAAACTCCAGATGGATATAAGGATGATTGGAAAACTTTCATTTCTTTTAGAAATTCCTTTCAACTCAAACTGAAAAATCAAAATATAGAAAGAAAATTGTTCAGAAAACTTTCAAATGGAAGTACTGAAAATAAAAGCTCTGGCATTTTTCATTTAAAAGCATTTTTTTAGGTTTTCAAAACAAAGCATAAAATCACACAATCACAAAATGGTTGAGGTTGGAAGGGATCTCCAGAGATCACCTAGTCCAACCCCGCTGCTCCAGCAGGGACACCTAGAGCACGTGGCACAGGGTGGCATCCAGGCGGGTTTTGAAGATCTCCAGAGAAGGAGACTCCACAACCTCTCAGGGCAGCCTGTTCCAGGGCTCTGTCACCCTCACAGGAAACAAGCTCTTCCTCATATGGAGGTGGAACTGCCTGTGTTTCAACTTACACCCGTTACCCCTTGTCCTGTCACCGGCCACCACAGGGAAGAGCCTGGCTCCATCCTCCCTACAGTCATCCCTCAGGTACTTGAACAGGTTAATCAAATCTCCTCTCAGCCTTCTCTTCTCCAGAGAATGTTTGGTCAAATGGTGGGTAACAATATCATTCCAAATGTGTCACTTTGTTTTTTTATCAATATTTATTAAATCTTCTATTTCTTTATTAACATTATTTGGAAAGTTTCAAATCCTTTTTTTCTTTTTCTGGTGAAACATTTCAATTTTGGGCAAATTGCTATGCTTTAAAGAGAATTTGGATACTTTGACAAACCTAAGTACTGCACATAAACTGCAACCGACCATACAGTATTGCCCCTAATGCGATGATTTCTATGTAAGTGGTGCTACAGAATCTAACTTTTATAAGCATTTATTTTCTCTGATTCTTAGCATATTTGTAGGAGGGAATGAAGAGAGATTGCTTTAGAAATAGAGTTATATTACCTGTCTCTGCCAAACATTAAGCACCCACACTTCATATAGTGTGTAATTGCTTTTATGTATCAAGCCCATTTAAAAAAAAAAGTAGTATATCAGAGGGAAAAAATATATCTGTAATTTAGGATTCTTCTGGCTCTGCTGCTATTCTTTTCAATCCCCAAGGCTTATGCACCAGTTAAATTCCTTTTGATTTCTCAAAACAGAGCTTAGTAATATATAAGTGAAGAATAGATTGTGAATCAGCTGTCTACAGCAGCACAAATACCCCAGGACAGCAAGACATGAATCAGTAATTACCAGGGAATTAGGCCCAGCACATTTTCTTTATGACTCTGTCCAGAGCCTTAGAAACAGCTTATCTTCAGTGCACTAGAATATGTGGATCTTGTGCTATAGATATCTCTTATTTTTAGATACAGGCTCTCCATTTTCACGAGAGATGAAAAATAAAACTAAAAAATGATGAGTTTATTTGGGAAGAACATTTGTACTCAGGGGACCGTAGTTCTGTTCTCATCATGAAATCCCGCCCGAGTAATCAATCACAGCTGGAGCCATTAATGTCAAGTGCAGTGAGTTCCTGGCTATTCAAGTGTCAGGTGAAAGAGTCGGTTTCAGAGATGTTATGCCCTGAAGGGAGGAGAAATGGAAAGAGGATTTCATTGAGCCATTAAGAGCGAATTTTGTATGAAAGGCTCTTGTGTGGGAAGGCAAGAATCCATGCGGTCAGTCATTCTTATGTTTGACTTAATCACTTGGGATAATATTTGTTTCTATTTCTGTGTAGTGATCAATACCAGAAAACACTCCATCTCTGCTATTTGGAACAGGCTGCCAAAAGAATGCTATTATTAAAAAAGCCATTTAAGGCACAGGGGGGTAAATAAGGAACAGCGTGCATTGACTGTGTAGAGCATGGACTGTATCGTCAAAGGCCCAGTTTTGTCTCCCTGAGTAACCAGATTGCCAACAGTCAATATCATTTTAATTTAGTGAGAGGAAACATTTGCAGTAGGGCTTTAAAAAAATCCTGATGCTCTTTGCTCTTTTATGCAGCCACAATATCTTTTGGTCAAGCTCTTCTATAGCAAGCCAAGAATAACGTGGTTTTGACTTGCTTTCTAGGCAGAACAGTGTTCTTAAAGATATCATGTGAATTACTGGGAATCGATTGTCAGTCTAAACAGGGCACTTGTTACCTTTTGGATAACCTTCACATCAAGAGACCATAGGAAAGGCAGACAGAGGATACCTGCTGGTTTTTAGGTGGCCTTTGATGGGAAACCCCTCCACACCAGAGAGTGGGGTCGGTGGTGGTTGTTGGTGCTTTCAGATAGCGTTTTTGAAGGTATCTTTTAATCAGCATACGATGTGTTCCAGGGAACTGGATCAAATACTTAGCAAGGAAGGAACCTATTTAAAAGAAAGAGATAGCTAATCTGTAGCAGACTCTTCCTTATTAGAGTTTGGGGATAATTGATCCCCTGAAAATGAGCCTGGAATCCTGGAAACACTAAAGTTTTTTCTGCATGGAAATAAAATATGAAATCATAATTATTATGCAAGAGATTGTTGCTTGTGATTCACATTTGGAGATAGTAGGGATACACATCAGTGGTAAATTTTGTTCATGTATACTACATATCAAATTTTATTGGCATATTTCTAATGTGGCATGTGACAAGAAAATAGTGGAGCAGTTTGTGCTGAAGAAAGGTCGTAAGTATAAGCAAAATCACTGTTAAAAAAATCAAAAGATTTGGTAATTGGGATTCTTACAGAGTAATGCTTAGAATTGTAGCATTCTTATTTAAAAGTATAAATAACATAATGTTCATTTCATGGACTGTGTATTTATATGCAGACCAAGGCATGCACAGGGAGCTTGTTAGTTCACTCCATTGCACATTCTTTATGCTGATGTAACTCTGCTAAAGTCAGTGAAAAAATAGGTCATATGTATGATCTTCCAGGAAGATTTCTCTAAAAGTCTAAAAAAATATGCAGAAAGAATGTATAAAGTCCACTGTGCTTGTGATTTACTAGCTGGAAGAGGTCCTGTTCCAAAGCCAGCTGAGGAGCAGTAAGCCGAGCTTTTGAAACTGCTCTCTGTAATTTTAATGTTTATTTTTTTCTCCTGAAATCATGAATGAACTTGTGAGTGGATGTGTGAACACTGGTGCAGTATATTTCTTGTATGTTAGTAATAACGTAGTATATGCAAATGCAAAAAAAGAAAGTCCTAGATTTGTGTCTCGGTATAAAAAAAAAAAAACATAGCTCAACCTTCAGCTTAAGTGTTTCCTGCACAATGTGTGTTCTTGTACGTGCATTTTCTTCCCATCATTTTAAGAAAGCTGTGCCTCATGGGAGGAGGCACCTAGATTGTGTTAATCCTTCAGAGTGTGCTACTACTTGTCCTTTGATTCATGCTCTACGTGCAAATGAAATAAAGTATGGCTATTTAAAGTACTGTTGCCATAGGAGTCCTCTGAAATGAATGGATTAGTTTATTCTTCAGGGATATTGCTTCAAATTCTCTGCACACTCGGGCAAATAGCTCTATATTAGTTATACTCTCTTCTGAAGATTATCTTAGCAGCCGCAATAGACGAGGTCTTTTTTCAATAAAAAGGGGACTATTCCAAAGTCTTTGTAAGGCTGAGAAAAAGCACTTCAAAGTTGAGAAACTGCTCTATAGTTCACATTCAAAAGTTGACTTTGAGGGTTTAATGTCTTCAAGGAGTGAACAGAAAGCCCTGTGTCTTGTCTATAACATCAGAGTAATATAAAACACAACATGTTTCTCAAATAGGAATATTTTTTCCTCACTCTACTTAGCTAACTTGAGCATTTCAAAATAGATAAACCATGCACTTACAGAGTTCATCTCACTTGCCAAACATCCCTGAAATTAGGTCTCTGCAGGCATACCTTAATGAGCATTTCTTTTGGCAGCCTCGTGACTTCTTTCTTTGTAGGGTTACTTTAGATTGATCCCCAGCACTGGGACCTCTCATGTTCACTGGGACATCCGAAGTGGTGGAGGAGAGGCAAGTGTGGGGATACAGAGTGGGAAGACTTAATGGCAGTGAGGAGAAATGCTTGTCAAACTGATTTTGTCACCCTGAACTCTCAGTATAACAGTGGGAATCTTCAGGAGGTGATCCACTCATGGAAGAAGCCTGTCCTCCCAAAGCTACTGTTCCCTGTTCAGTGAAGGATGGTTTTAAATGTAAGGAAAATGTCTGAACTTCAGGGAAAAATAAGTATTACTCTTTTCTTGCTAGCATGAGGAAACCTTCCTTGTGATTCATTCACATCTAATTAAATAAAAATATAAAGGAGAAAAGAGATCTGAAATGGGAACTTTTCAGTGTACGTGTAGTCTGCATTGCAACCTCTTGCATTAAAGGAAATGGTGCTACCTGTGCCAAATGCAACTGTTAAGAGTAACACTGCAGGTGTGTACTCATTTCTAACCTGTTGACAAAAGTATGAAAAGGTAAAATTATTGACAAACATCTCAAACTGTGCTTATGAGATGGTGTGTGATAAATTATAAATACAAGAGGTTATTTTGAAAGTATCCAAAATCATCTTTGTGTTATTGATGTGGATCAGTATATCAGGCTGAGCCTTAGAGAATTTCAGGCCTGATGTTTCTGTTAGACTGTTGTTCGGCAGCACAAAAACAACCCCAAATACTCAACATCATTTTTCTTCCTTCAGAAAGCTGACAGCAGCATTGATAGCAGGTTTGATTTGACGTGTTATGAATATCTAGAAAATAGACACAGTCTGCAATGTGAAAAAAGTTCACAGATCCGTCTATCTGTTCAAATGTAATCTTATCAGATCTTCAATAAGTAGAACATCTTGTCTAACATGATATATTGCCTCCCAAAATGCTAAAGTAGTTTCTGTTTCAGAGACTAATTTTGTAGTAAAATGCAGGATTTTTCATTCTATTTATAAGGAGAAGAAATGCCCACCAGCAGTCTCCTTCACATCTCTCAGCCTTACTTCTTTTTATTTATTTTTAAAAATAATGCAAATGTCATATTCTTCCCCCTCGTACACTTTACTCCTTCAGAACTACACTGATTTTGCCACAAGCCCTGGCTTGAGGTACCAAATAGCTTTTATAGTTTCAATTCCCTCTTCTTCCCACCTTATCCCGGTTTATTATTGCCTATTTTGGCAAATGCCAATGTTAGTTACATGCCAGTGATATGCTCCCGATTCTACCTTTTCCTTTGCAGGAGTTGTATTTACTCTCTGACTTCACTGAGCCGTAGAGTGGTATCAAATATTTCAGCTCCTCATAAAACTAGATTTCAAGTTGCTCTTACCGCTCTCCCCTGCCTTCTCCCTCTCCTCGACTGATCATTTATCTTATTAGGGAAAAACAGCATATGTGATTATTTCTGGTTGTTCTGCGGCAGAAACTGATCCAGTCTCTTCCCACTGGCCTGCATTCCCAAGGAGCCTCAATTACTGAGTCCGAGTTTTAACCATTCCTCATAAATCAGTCTCTTTGAAATCATGAAGCAATGATGTCATTTCAATTTAACGCATGCCTTTATTGCATTTTATCATTAATAATTGCATCAAAACCATCATTTTCTCTAAGTACTTATTGGGTTTTCTTAGTATCTGCATCCAGCTGCGCTTTATCGCTCAATACATCTCCTTCATGTGTTTTCAGCCCACAACTGCTGCCTCTGTGGGCTCTTCTGTGCTTGCCAGCTTTGGCAGGGAGGAGCCACGTGAAGAGCAGTGTCACTGCAGGAGTGTGGCCTGATTCTGCTTCACGTTGTGATGGCACAACCATCAGCTCAAAGCCTTCTGTGCAGAGCCTGCCCCGCTAATGGTGCCGTACGAGCCGGATGAGACGTGGCTGTCCTGCCAGTGAAGGCTGGGATGGAGGCCCTGAAGGATAGAAATCTCACCTCGTGCCTGAGCATCTTTGACATGGGAGATATTAAGACAAAATCAGGCTGTACTCCCACTACACCTTTTTAAAGTTAAACTGCACCTTGATCAATCCTGACTGAATTTCCATCTCTGATTTTTTTTGTTAAATTTTTTCTGCTTTTTCTTGCTTAGTCAAAGCAGAATCTGCAGTGCTGTTGAATATACTTACCAAAGATGTATCAGTTACTTATAAAAGCCATACATGAAGTCAAAGAAATATCTAATGAGGGTGTAATTAAGGTCTTTTTTAGGACTAAATCTGCTCTAGAGTCTCAAATGCCAAAGCTAATTGTAAAAAGATGTTCCAACATTTAGCAGTCAATGTGAGGGTGTACATATGTGTGTATATATTTATACCAACATCTGTTTATGAAACTTTTTCAATTTCATACCTATTTCTGTTTTCTCCAATTGATAGTAGAATTCCATTTGTATGCATGTCCCAATAAAAGAGATGCTAAAAATATTTTAAAAGAAAAACATAATGCCAAGAACACAAATAATATTTTCCATCTGAATGATAGTAATATGACATTATAAATGGGGTTTATTTTAATTTCCTAGCTAGCGTGTTAAAGCTGGTTGGTATGAAATCCTCTGTTTCTTTCCATTCCCATAATTACTATTCTGTAGCTGGCTCTGCCTAACTTGATTGTGTTATGTTCTCAGGGCTGTTGCTGGAGTTGATGGAGACCCTGATTTAGTTCATATGGAAATCCAGGACACTGGTGGAGGTATGCAAATGAAAATGTTATCAGTTGATTCCCTAGTGTATAGCCATTTTGCTTTGTTTTAGACAGTACTTATGAATTTATTTTAAAAAACAGCCAGGAGAAGAACTGTGCAAATCAGAGTCTTGTTCTGTTTATCTGTAGTCAGCAAAGCTGTCCTGCTATGTAAAAATAGAGTATAATTTAAAATTTACTTGTTTCCCTTTCTGAGACAAATTGACGTCAAGATGCTATGCTCCATTGAAAAAGTCCATTAATAGTGCAATTTGTTCTGGCAGTTAAACATTGAGCATTTTTTCCTGGTTTGCAAATAAAATCGGCAACATAGCACTAGAGCTATGTCTGTGAAAAGTGAATTGTGGCATAGGTCGGTTCTATTAAACTAACTTCTCCCAGAATTGCCTGATGTTACAACATTCTGTATACTTTGTAACTTTAAAGCAAAGCAGACAAAAACAACAAGAACAAAAATTAGCAGTCAGGGTGTGCTATGGTAAATAGTCACCTGGATTCCTGTATTCTTGTGGCTTCATGTTACCTCTTACACCCATGAGAGATGATTTAATTCCTTGATCAACCTAGTTCCTATACAATCTTATACATTAGTTGTAGAGGATGCATAATTTGGTATTCCACATTCCATTTCTTCCTTTCAGCCCAATAAAAAGCCACAAAAGTTACCATGTTAAAATTGAGATGTCAAGGTTCTTAAGTCTTAAGATTTCTGGGGCTCATTGAGCCTCCAAAGTCCCATCAAGTTTGGAAACAGTGTGAGAATTTAGAAGCTGCTTTAGTGCTGGATGGAAAGATTTTTATTTAATAGAAACAACAACAAAACTTTCATGAAATATTTATTTCCTGGCTGGGTCGTCAAAACACAGACCTTGTGCAGTTAAGGTCAATACAAGCGTTGCCATCGATTTTAGTGGAAATAGTGTCTTTGTACTACCTGTCTGACAAAGCGCTCTAGTGATTAAATGTGAATTATGAATAGCTGCAAGACGTTTTGATGGCCCATTGCTCTGCTTGCTGACAGATCCTTGTGATGATGATTTCGAAGGTAGTGAGAGAACTTGGATTGACTCTTGTTTCCCCTCAAACGGGTCCAGATTTTAAACCGAGTATTTGGATCCAGTGTGTTGGGTTGGCCTTTTCTAATTAAAAGTTGTAGATTATGGAATGCATTTCCATGTGTTACAGCTGGTGTAAGGTCTGATTATTGATTCTGTTCATCTGTTTAGTAATGGCAAGTTGCACCAAAGATGCAGTTACCCTTCCCTAATAGTCTATGCAGAGAAGGCAATTGGAGAGGAAGAGAGAGAGGCTGTAGCCTTCTCTGATATAAGTCAGTCCAGGTATTTTCACCAAACTATTAACACTTAATTTAGAAGCCCCCCCTCAACAGAAATGTTCCAGTAATGCACAGTAACTTCTCCACAGATCTTTCAAAATAGGCTTTAAAATTCTAAGCACTGTCTATTAAATTGAGTCTGGTTCTTTTCTCACCCCTCACAGTTTTATACCGGGGCTGCACTATTGGTCTCTGCTATATTGTGTCAGATGCCACTTCCTCAAATGAATAATTTGGCTCTGTGCATACATTAAGCAAGGGAAGAGGCTCCGTCTGTTGTCCCATAAATGTCTCATTCATATAATCCCCAGTCTGTCTGGATGAGCAAAATTTGGAAAAGTGGCTGCCTCTCAGGAGTTATCTGAACTGTAGGCAGTTAATATAAGCTCAGTACTTAGCAGATTGAAAAACTCTTGTATGAACATTTAATATAACAATTTTCTGACTAACTCAACTGTTAAAGGCAGTGGTTTCCCTAAATGAATTACATTTTATACTGCTTGCTGCTTTTTCTCTTCAAAGCCCTGTCATACATTTCTGTCTCTCTTCCCTCAGGTTATCGTTACATCACTTGCCAGATTCAAAATTGTTCTGATAAGACAATGGCAGTCCAGTTTGCTGGTGGCACTGATCGGGATTCCCTGACTGTGCAGGATGACTACATATTTCTTCAGGTATATGCCACTTTTGGAGAGAGCCGATTTCAAATCAGAATTAAAAATTTAAACCATGTGGCAACACTGTAATTTAGGAAGTTTATGAATTTTACATGGGTCAAAGCATTCTTTCATTAGTCAAAAGAAGATGCATCTTTAATCTGTGCAACCAGTTGCTTATTTATCCTGTTAATTTATCTGTGACCTAGCTTTACCTACAGTGACTATATTTTCAAGTGGATCATGTGGCTCAAAAATGACTTTTATAAATACTCTTATGTGTTAGGCAAAATGCAGTCCTTGTGTTTCTATACATAACATCCTTTCCAGCACCTCCATACAGAAAAAGGTCTCTGAAAAATTCTAGCATATCCACTGCCAGACTAGTGTCCCAGCTTTTTCATTTAGGTAACTCTATGAAGAGGTTTTGTTGTGGAAAGAATTATACAACTGTCCTTGGTAAGTGAAACGGTGGAATCACCATGGCTGGGAAGCTTAGAGCAGCTTGAGCTAGTGCAGATTACACTGGTGCTATTTCATTTCCAAGCTGCAAGACCTGAGTGCAAAAACAGGGATTGGGAACTCTGGCAGCCTTATGGCACCAAGAACATCTTGGTCACAACTGAAAATTTGTTTTTACATAGATGAAAGAGGTTTGAATCTGTCAGAGCTGCAGAATTCTCAGAGAAAGATTTTATCCTATGTGTTTTTAAGATTTTCCGAGGGAAGTTCCTTTTCTCAGTGACTGGCTATATTTTTTCCCTTACTTTGATAAGGCTTGATTGTTGTAAGGCTTGTACTGACCCTTGCAGGAAAGGGTTATTATGACCGTTGTGAACTCTCCACATGACTGCCTTAGAGGATTAGATTGCCTTTTAAAAAAATTATTATTATTATTTTTAGTTTTTCCACCTTGTGGCTGTTTCTTCAGAAAGGTTTTGTAAATTGATACAGAGACAAGATTTGTCCTCCGCTTGTTGAGTGCAGCAGTTTCAAAACCCAGTGTGGCTTGGAACAGTCAGGAGCACAAAGAAACAGCAAAATTGATTTGGAAAAGTATTTTTGAATAAAGCAGGCATTCTCGGCTCAGGTCTAGCATGCGTGGCAACCGTTTTGCTGAAAGGTGGCATTATCGGTAGCTCCCACCGGGCACATTCTGAAATCCATTTCACGGTTAGGAGATGGTGAGAACCGCTGCTCACCATGTGACCTTCCAGACCGCTGCGCTCAGCAAAACACAGGTTGCTTCATCTTCAGGCATCTGCGTTTTGCTGGACATCTTGTATGCTTGCATCAGGAGTTGTTATTCTTCTATCCAATGCCAGAGTTTAGCAGATGCAAAATAGCAATGCAACTTGGAAACACGCACATGAAGTGATGGATGACCACTGCTAGCAAAATCATGCCATTGATAATGTAGTTTTGTCTCTGGAGATTTGAGACATGTTAATAGAAGAGATGTGCACATATTCTACATAAAGGGGAAACATCTTTAGTCTTTTACTTTCAGACATAGCTGCAATAAATCACAGTAATTTAATATAAATCTCATTTATTGCTAAATGAGTTTATAGTTGGCCATGTCTGTATTAGCAAAGGATAGAATAGATGTCTGGGATCCTTTAGCTGTTACTGAATTGCAGCCATCTCTGAGGTGTGATGCTGGACAGACTATTTCTGAGGCCATTTTAGGAGAAGGATTAAAGTTTTGACACTGTTTTAAGCACAGACCAGCCTTTAATGTTGATGGGGCTTGGCATGGCAACTGCTTCAACTCTGATTTTCTACAGCCTTGAATCATCTGTAGTCATTTGAAATGAGTGACATAAAATAAGTGCATAATGAACATGAAGGCTGTGGTAAGATGGATAAGCCTGATATTTAACATTAATTAAATAAATAGTGAGCTTTCTGCTTCTATCCATCATTTAACAAATCACATTGCAAAAGGGCATCACATTTTCTCTGCTACACAAAGGAGACTGGTTTAAAGGAGGAATGAAAATGATTAGTGTTAAATGCTTTGGTATCTTTAAAATATTCAAGCTGTCATGTATCAACTCTATTTTTATCAAGCATAGTCAAGTTTGAATACTTCAACATAGGTTGTTCTTCAAATCGGGTTCCTTTTTTAAAGCACGTACTTCAAGTGTGTGATGGCCTACCATCAAATATTGTTTATTGTGCAAATAAAATTTGATTTAACCAGGAGTTTTACCTAGCAATTAACTGCAAACCTTTGATTTTATATTTCTTAATAGTAGTATGGAAACCACAGGGAATCTGTGTTTGACATGGCTTCCGTGAATGAGATTCATTTTTCGTTTTAGTCTTTCTTTTATAAAGGACATTGAGTTCTACCTTTCTACCTTTGTATTGATGCTACCACCAGTTAGCTGTGTTTGCTTACTCCCTTTGCTCTGATGTGACCTATATGAGAAGTTGAAGTAGAAAAAAATGAATATAGAAGAGTTTGTGGTAAATTCTTAAACTGACTTCCCTTACTGTATCAGAGAGCTCCTTCTGTTCTTGTAAAATTTCATTTGACTGCTAGAACTAGACAGGGTCCATATTGGTAAAGGAAGTGGAAAACTGCTATAAAAATACTTTTTCCTGTCAGAATGTCATTGTCAGATGGGTCATTTTATTTTTCCAGTTCAAGCAGAATAAGCTTTGAGAAAAGACAGAAAAGAAACTCAATAATTATTCAGGGCATGCAGTTGTAATTAATAAAAGTCTGAGCCTTTTCATTTAAACAATGAGATAGGGAATAGGAGTCTAAATGAATTTATGAAGTGAAAGTAAGGGGATTAGTGTGTTTGTGCTTCTGTTTCACAAACTGATTTGTCATGGTAACAACCAGAGAAAAATTCTGTGCATTTTATTTTTCCATTTTCTTTATTGACCAGGACATTCCTGTAAAGCGGAGACCTTTTATCAACCAAGAGAAAATGGCTGAATAGCTGATATCTAGCTGATCTACCTGAAAAAAAATGTTTAAAAGAGGTGTGAAATAATATTTATTAGAGACTGAAACTATTGCTAATCTTATTTTTCGGTACTCAAGAGGCCTATTTGAAGCTGTGCTGAGTAATGCCAGCACAGATTTTGGCATTTTGTCTGCGACTGGAAAAACCTAGAGACACCATCACACGAGCATTTTCATCAGTCCTTATTTGGAGTCTTCCCTTTGCGACTTTGGAACAGTATTTACATTGTTTTTTTTTTTTTAGTGACTAAGACAAAAGCTGTCAGTTTATCTGCTGTCATGGGGGGGCGAAAGATGCTAATGGATAATGCCTACACTGCTCTTCCTTTAATACATGTTTCTATATGGCTTTCTTTGGGTGAAAACTTTCAGAGAACCCCAGGTGTTTTACCTAAGACCTAATCTTATCTTCAGTTACACACACAAGAAAGCAGTTGAAGTACGTGTTTTAACCGTCTCTGGAATTCGTGGACAGCATAAAATTCAGGACATTTAATTGATTTTCAAACTAACTGTTTGACTAATGGCTTTAGAATTGCATCATCATCTTCCATGCTATATGTCAAGGACTTTCACTGGGAAATGTTTTATTCTGTGAAGAAAAAATTAGCCCAACAGTGTTTCATAATGTTATACATAAATCTTCCAGTGACTTTTGGTTTTTGAGTAGTGCTGTTAGATATCACTTACTCTGGAAATGCCTGGTATTTGCTGCTGGTAGGAGTAATATCTTTGTAATTAGATTGCAGGTAACAAGAAAATAAAAATGGCCATAACAGACTCTTTAGATGTGACATAAGCTATCACAGGGTTCCTTTTTTCCTTTCTACAGACAACATCAGGAAACCGGACCAAGTATTACGTGTCTTACCGTCGAAACGGCTTCGTGCAGATGAAGTTACCGAAATACGCGTTGCCAAAAGTAAGTGCGCACAATGCGCTTCTGCTTGTATTTTCATTATTCAACTTCTTACCTGAGTCAAGTTTGTTCTTTGCCTTTTTAAAACCTCATTGCTCTGAGATCACAATTTTACATTGTAAGGTGCCACCCTGCCCCGACATAGGCAACCAGGCCACCTCCTGAAGTCCCCTGCAGCCTCCCTTCTGCCACCCTCTGCTGTGACCTACTGAATTACAGAAGTAACTGAGAACTTTGGTTTTTTGCATGTTGTTTATGTCTCTGTTTTACTAATGAAGGACAGTTGAGGACGTCCTTGTTACCATTATAAAGCAATGAATGTGTTTAATGTTGTTTTTTTTTCTTCATCTTTGTTATTTTTTTAAACTAAATGGCAATCTGGGATCTAGTTTTAAGTATGCAGCACATGTTAAAAAAAAAAAAAAACCAAACTGAAATCAAACATTTGGATACTATTTGAACAAGAATCTGGAATATCTGTGTGCTCCCAGCAGCATTATGCAAATAGCTCCGTATTTATTTATTTGTTTGTTTTGCCAAGAAATGTTTAACCAAGGGCAAGCAAATGTATCAGCTCAACCACGTAATTACTTTGGGATTTTTAAGCCCTTCAAAGCAGCTCTTATGGTCTCTTGAGGGAATCTGTAACTAGGAGAACCACAGGAGGTTATAAAGCTTGAAATGTGAAAATAAGAGAGATATATACTGGTGTATAGAGGGTTTAATAATCAATTTCACAGGAATAAAGGATGAACTAGGGAGCTGAGGTTTGTTTGGGGCCTAAACAGCAGAGTTTTAGGACAGAGGCTGCATGGAAGGAGGCCATGAGCCACCCCAGACCATCTCTAGACGGCTCCAGAATGGCAGGAAACGATTCTGTGCATCAAAAGTTTGATGCAAATGTGAATATGTGTGGCACAACTTGTCCTCGGGCAGAGGGAAGGGAGGAACCATGAGAGAATGGGATTTCTTCCGTTCATTTCCAGGTGGCGTGCGCAGGAATCTGCACTTTTCTGTTGCAGTTTCAGTCTTATTCTCCTCAATCTGCTGCATTTGTTAGTTCCTTCTGATCCTGCCATTGTGTAGAGGGTGTTCCTCATGTTTGTAAGAGTAGCACAAAGTGATATGATCGGAATATAGATGTTATGATTGGAATATAGACATTAGTTAATATTGTGTCTGTGGATGAGTACTTCAAGTATTCAAGAAAGTAAATTATTTATAGGAAATTTGATGCATGCAACTTCCTTAATGGCACAGACCACTTTAATATCAATATTACAGTGGCACTGTACTAATAAAAGACATGTTATTTGGGTAAAGATGTAGCTCTCTGACACATTACAGTAAATGGATGGAGGCTTTTAGAGCTCAGAACTAAATAAGAATATGGTCCACTTCTTGTAGGCATCTGTGTTTAAAACACCCAGACTTGCCTCAGTTGTGAAGATCAGCAGTTGAGAGCTGGAGACAAGGTACATAGTAAGGGACTGGCAGATCTATCCTGTGTAGTTTTCTTGGCAGCAAAACAAATTTAAGAAATTGTCTGCCATCATTTTATTTCTACCACTCTTTTGCAATCTCCTGTGACCTATCTTGTGTTTGCAGGACTATACTATAAACAAGATCAGTCCAGCAATCTAAGTGAAAAATAATTCTGGAGGAAAAAAAAATGGTAACTTTGCTTTTAAAAAGGAAGATCAGGAGGCAACTTGATTGCAGTGAAGAAGCTTCCCTATGGAGAGAGAATATTGTTGCTTAAAAACTGTGATAAAGACAGACAGACCTGTAGCTGGAAGCTGAATCCAGACACATTCAAATTAGGTACTCAGCATAACTTCTTGGTGATTAAGCACTTGAAAAAGTGCCAATGAAAGTGATGGATACTCTTTTGGAGTTTACAAATCATAACTGACTGCTTTTCTGGAAGATTTGCTATAACCATACATACATATACATTATTTGCTCCTCCTGCATCTTATAAGTAGGCAGAAATAATTGTTAGGATTTCAGTGGTTGGAAAGATACCAGAGAGCGAAATAAGAGATCTACTAATCTTCTAGCCTTAAAATCCATTAATCCCCAAGCTGTGCTCAGTTTATTGGGTATATGATCTTACTGAGTGCATATTAATAACCGTTTCTGACATATTCAGCAAGTGTCTGGCATAACTCCCTTATGTTTGTCTAGTCTAGATTATTTGAAATAGTGCTGCATGCTAAGTTCTTTGTCTTGGAAAATATGTTTTTTTGTTTATTTGTCTTTTTTCCCTGCTAAGCAGATTAACTCCAGGCTTGACTGAATAAATAAATTAGAAGTTAATGGTTTCATTTTGGATAGAGTCAATAGCAAGCTAGGAACAGGATGACTGTGTCGTTTGGAAAAGGATGTTTTTGTGTTGATTCTAGTTCAGGCAGTACCCAGTAAGTGGAACGAAATAAACTGCATCTCTTTAGCATTTTGATGATGCCTCCAAGAAAAGTTTCTTTGGTATCTGCACGCAACAGAGCTAAAAAATTCACTAAGAGGGCCTGGAAGACAGACATCCAATAGAACAGTAGTGAATGTGAGAGAGTTTAACCTCTTCTTTGAAAGATATATTTTTAAAAGTGATTTGCTGCCTTTTACATTGTATTTCAGATACTGAATATGAAATAAATGAGAACACAACTCTCTGAAAGTCTTTGATCCCACCATATTTCAATGAGAATCATCAGAGTGCAATAGAAATGCATATTCCAATCCAGTTTGAACCGAAGGGAAAGATTAATATGAGCAAAATACTGATGAAATTTTTCAAAGAAGTGGCATATCAGTGCAGGCACTGGCACATCAACAGTGCTTTGAGAACCCATGACATTGATTTGCTACTTGTGTGGTGGCAGGAGATAAACCGAATGAAAGAATTTACAAGAAATTCTTTTAAAGTTTGTTTAAAAGTGGAATTACAAGGTTTTTGAAATAACCGAGTTTCAGTTTTTGTAAGTAGTCCATTCTGCCTAACCAGGATATTAAGCAGGTCTAAAATAGGTTTTATTTCTTTTTCTCAATCGAATGGAATGAGGCCTCAGAAAATCCCTTTCCAAATGGTCTCTGCAAAATGCTGCATGTCATGGGCCAGACTTTGGATAGTGATTCTGTACAGGCAGTGGAAAACTGTGGACAAGTCAGAAAATGCTGCAGGCTGCTCAGGTCTCTCTAATAATGTTTGGAGCAGTATGCTGGATCCCCAAGTCCTAGCCTAAGGAAATAATGATGGGCACTTCAGGTATTATTCTTTCTCAGAGCACTGTGTTTCCCTCTGATTTTATTAATGAACGTAGAATGAACATTTTAAAACGGAGTAATTAAAAACGTTATCTGACATTTTTCTTCAGATCTGAAAATCTATCCCAAGAATTTTTTTTTTTTAATATTGTTTGTACTTTGGTTTTTGCTTTAATTTGTTCAAATATACCCTCAGACAAAATCCTGGAGAAGGATATATGTTCATATATATTTGGGGAGTGTTTCAAGGCCTTCTTGCTTGTGAATGAAATGTTGTCAGCATAGCTAAAAGCAGCTTTCAGACAAATTTTACTTCTGTTATGTGTCATTTTATTCATCATGTCTCTTAGGCTCAAGCTTCACAGTTCCACTTAAATCACCTTTTTGTAACACATGGAGGATACAAATTTATTTCCAGGGGGGAAAAAAAAAAAAAAAAGAAAGAAAACAGAGCCAAAGAGAGCCACCTAATGAGCAGGAATCTGAATTTTGGGGGGTCTTTGATCTGTTATTTAGGAGTTTTTGCTAGCATTTTGATATTGAAAGTCCTTTGAATTGCAGAGCTCATGTGTTGACTGCTGCCAGTCAAAACGGTAATAGAAGTTGGTAGGTTCAGTGTTAAAGGTGGCCAGAAAACTCCCTAAAACAGTACACGAAATTTAGAGCTATTCCTTTAAGCTAAGTTGGCTATTATGCTGAGACTATATTCTATTTTACTGAAATAGCTTGTTCGTTGATGCTAAAACTAGAACCAAGGCAAATAACTTCTAGAAAATCAATACCAAATCCCTCTCAAAGTCAAGAGCAAAAGGATTACCTTTGTGTTGTGACTAGTCGCAGAGTTGTCTTCCAGGGAGATCCAGAGATGTTGCCTTCAGCGGGCCCTGATGGGTAGTTTTCAAACCCAGAGCCTTGGAGCAGCTCTTGCGGGAAACAGGTCTGCTGAGGGTCGTTCCATGTAGCCTCCTCAGGAGAGGTGTCGCACTCATATTGCACGCTTGTTCCTTGCAGCTCAGATTAAGATGTTAATTTTACTGTCACAATTTTGAAGAAATAATTATTCCGAGTTCCTGTCCCAACTCTGATAAATTAACTGACACATATCAATTGATAATGCTCTGCTTTTATGGATTGAATCAAGGCATTCATTGATTCTGCCATCTGCAAAAACTTAATAAGGGAAGAGCTACTTTAGCTGTTACATCTGTTTAGCTCTGAAAACATGTGTTGTGGGAAAAGCTTTTTTATCTATCATGATATCTGTGTATCTTTTATATCTTGTGAAATAGGCAACAATGCAGAATTTTTCAGATAACTGAGGTAGAAGAGAATACAGGGACAAATGAAAAGACAAAAAAATCCTATTGCCTTAGAAATAACCAGATTTATTTAATATATTTATGGTAATATGCATCTCATACTTTTTATCTACTCAATAGTTTCTTTTTATTTGAGTACCACCTAGTGCTCTTCTGTCAAGAGCTTGAACTGGTATTCCTGAATCTAAAAATTAATTCAAAACACAAAGTAAAACTCCTCTGTGTTTTTGCTGTAAAGCTGTTGTCATGAATGAACAATTTTGTCTTTTCAAAGTACCATCTTATGTAGTCAGCTTTTGCAAGTGAGACTGACTCCTCTGAGGGGCTCTCAGGTAAGGCCCAGGACTTCCTTGTCTAAGTCTCTTATATGCATCACTTTTTGACTGTAAGTTTCCTTCCACACTTGTGTGCATTGTTCAATTTTGGTATGACACAATTAAATTATTTTTTTAACACTTTTACGTCTTTTCCCTAAATAATCATCGATCTTTTGAAGCATATAGTTTCTTCTCTGTCAAGCTGCCTCTGACCGTAACTTTTTCAAGAATTCCTTAAATGGATCCATTCATTAACAGTAATAGTGACAGGAAACATTCACGTAGCCTTTCTCTCTGCAGACCAAATTTTCTTGAAGCCCTGACTGTGCAATATTTTGATTATTAGTTAGTGAGAATGCAGAAGTTCATTTCACTAGGTTCTTAAATCTCCTGTATGTTTCTCTGTAAGGATAGTTCCTTCACCGCCGCAGCCCCCCATCACTTGATGGATGCTGAGGCTGAGTTTTAGTCTGTGTTAGGCAGAAGAGCAGTTTGCAGCTGGAGCAGGATTACTACTCCATCCTTCGACCATTGGAGTGACTGCTGAAAAACGAATTAAGAGAAATAAAACAGAAATATAAATAGGAGTGTATTTGATGCAGTAAAAATACTACTTCCCTGGGAAGTGACCCAGAAATAGCAAGTGAGCCAATGGAGCAGTTGTCTCTCTGGATGGCTCCCCAGCCTTACAAATCGGTTGAGGTGGGTTCAGGGAGCGCTTTTCTTCACAGTGTAACTTGTTATTGATTTCTTCCCCTTGCACCATTTTACTCCTCCAGGAAAGGAAGATTAGGGAGATTATCTAAGGGATATATGCCATTCAGTTACCTTGATTGTGCTTAAGAGATTATAGGGGAGTAAATGTGGTGCATCTGGAGGTCAAGGCTGCTATTACACAGTTCTGAGTGCTTACACATGTTGTACATGCAATACATTTACTTCTGGTAATTCTCTGTTTAATTTATCACTTGCTTCAGGTTAATACATTGCCCAACCTAAGCATTAAAAGATTGAAATCAGGAAAAAAGTATGGCTTTAAATCTGCAAGATTTGAAAAACAGAAGTTTGAAGTTCTTTTATATTTGTTTTGTTAGATAAAGCATCACAGTTCTGCCTATAGCATTACACAGACTTTTCTAAATCCTGCCTACAGTGTTTTCATTTGATGGTATTTTCTAGCCCATCAGCATTTTGCCTGAATTAGGGGTCATTGGCTTGCTGTGTGATCCTTGTCAACTGCCATATCCTGTGTCTTCTGGGTATAATCCTATATTTATGTAACAGGGTTTCTTATCACAGATCGTAATCTAGTAAACCAGGCTGAGTGTTTCTTGTCTATAAAATGGTATTAACATGTTTATAGGCACAGTTACTATGTGTAGGTGATATGGGATGCTATACAGTGGAAACAACATAGTTGTCTTTCCTTCCTTCCTGCAGCCTTCACCTCCAAAAATGAAAACTCTCTTGACTATTTATGCTTTAGGACTTCTTGACAGATTTTGACTTTTGATCTGGTGTTCATTCAGTAAAAACAAGTTTATCTTCATTAAAAGCACAAAACTTGGGGAAAGTGTTGGAGTGATCCTGTTGGTACCTCCCTGTGAATAATTCTGTAGTGTGGATCCTCTTAGGAAAATCTGATCCTTACTCTCCGCATGCAGGAAGAATTTCTTGGACGCTTGCTCTCCGTTTTGTGGCTGACAAGGCACAATTCTTTCAGCATAATACACACACCCTTCAGGCTCATTTATTTTGTTTAATAGACCAGGTCTATCTATGTGATGTGTATCACTTCAAGGTAGTTGGTATCTTTTGGCAGGATTATGCCCTGTGTACATACCCAAATATTTTCAGCGTTGCTTTGACGCTGTCTTACTGTTTATTTGAATTGTGTTCTCTGCAACTGATATTAGATACAAACCAGCTTAGAAGTCACTGAGAGAACAGGAGTAGTATGACCTGTTATTAGATGCCCTGCTTAATCATTTCAGTTTCTAAGTCGTTGATCACTTGCAGGATTTGTCTAGCATATTGGATAGAAAGAATTTTGATTCAAAACCTCAATTTGGTTGCTGTTAATTCTAACCCTTTGATTAAGCTGAAATGTATATTTGCCTGGAAATTTTATAGTTTCTGTAATAAGAAGTTACAAAATTACAGTTCTTGCATTAAAAAATAAATACTGTTATTTTGGTGACATTCCCATATGTTTCTGCAAAATTTCAATAAAACTCAGTAAGCATTTTTCCCTCATTTTCACAAGATTGTAGCCCATAGCCATAGAATGGATCTTGAGAGGTCCTTTTCCAAAGCATGGCCATCTGCCTTAAACCAGTCTTGACAGGTGTTTGTCTAATATACTCTTTGCAGCTCCCAAGGATGGAGATTACCTCCCAAAGCAATTTGTCATCAATGTTTATGACCAGGCTGTACTTCCAAAGGATTTTCTGATAGCTAACCTAAATCCCCTTAAATTCACACACAGTATTAAACTCCCAGTAGAAATAGAAGACAGTGTATTTTCTTTGCCTTGGGGCAACTGATTATGTATTTGAAGGTTGTTGTGTCTCCTCTCACGCGCCCATAGACAGACAACCCTGTGGGTCTGTTTGCATTGTGAATTTTAGAGCACTTCACAGACTTCAGTGGCTGCACTCCAGGCCTATCCCTGGGTTGAAAGACACTGCCTAGCTCTGTACATTTTTACTGATGCTCATACAGAAATTAGTGTTGTAAGCTTGCAGTCTAAAATGAATGAAACACAGCAAAGCAAAAATCGTTGGGCTGACCTCAGAGAGTGTATTTGGGAATTATGGTTCATTTCTGATACCGATTGCTATTAGTGAGCTTTGCAAAATAATAAAAACAAAAAAGGAGAAGTGAGAATGGCAAGAGAGTGGTCAGCAACTGTGAATTTTGTTCATTTACTCCCAGAAAAGCCAGAGCAAATCACAGTCTTCACACATGTCATGATTTCTGATCTTCCTTAAACTGGGTTGCATTCCTGGTGATAACTGTAGTAGAAGGCAGTGACTGGCCAGCTTGGAGTGCTAGGATACAGCGCGTTTATTAATTGAGAGATTACTATAGCTGAACTTTCAATTATTTATTTTTTCCCTGGTACTCCTAGGCAGATTATTGGTTACAAAACAGAGCGGATAGGAAAATGAATCGTTTTGTATTTTGTCTTTTTTTACAGGATTTACAGATAATCAGTACGGATGAAAACCAAGTATTTGTGGCTGTTCAGGAGTGGTACCAAACAGACACATACAACCTGTACCAGTCTGACCCCCAAGGTGTTTACTACTCCATCCTGCTAGAGAATGTCCGGAGCACAAAACAACCAGAAGAGAATGTCCTGATAGATATTCTAGAGGTAGGATGCTGTTCGGAAGCCCTCTCGCTTTCCTTTTTATCTCCTCCAATGTGTGATCTATGTGGAGCTTCATTATAATTAATTTTATGTTAGTGATTTTCTTTACTACTATCTGTAATAAAAAAAGACAAGGCTCTTTTTCTTTTTTATAGTGTTCGTTACTATTTATAATTTTCTTTCTTTCCATCCTAATGCGCGGTGGGTTTTGAGAACTGAGTTTGTGCATAGGGCTTCTTGCAAAGACAGGGTTCATGGTGGTGGGTGTTTTCTCTTTGTCTTTTTCTCTTTCTCTCTCTCTGTCTTTCTCTCTCTCTCTCTCTCTTTCTCTCTCTCTCTTTCTCTGTCTTTCTCTCAGCATACTGTATTATTGATGAAGTAAGAAGTTATGCAACTGCCATGTACAGCTTCTCACTTATAGGTGACTTGCTAATGCACTTCCTGACTTAGACTAGGACATTTTTAGCCAGTAGGGGCTTAAATAGAAATCCCATGAGCCTCACGCTGGGTTCTGTGTGGTGGCTTTGACAAGTGAAAAACAGGCAAAATGAGATTTTTATTGGACAGCAAGTCTGCTTGCTTTCAGTAGGTGTTTTGTGCCACCGGTATTTGCTATGAGACAAATTCTCCTGTAATCAATTCTGTCTTGGATTGTAAACTTAGTGCATTTGTCAAAATAAGACACTAAAAATAGAGCATTTTTGAAGAATAACACAAAGTGTCACCAGTTCTGTTCATGCTGCTGATGATATTTAAATGTAATGAATTGTACACTGTTGCTTTTTTGTTCTTTCTAGAACAAAACCGTTATCAATTTCTTTCTAGAACCGTTGTCAATTGAGACATTAAACTGTGTAGACCTTTGGTCTGACTCAGTTTGGCCACTGTTACGCTCCAATATACATGCAGTTGGTTTAAAAAAAAAATCTTAGTTCAACAGACTTGTTTGGAAAAGGTAATTCTAGATACAAGTCATGCCTACAGGCGCCTATTGACTGGTGGCACTAAGTAGACTCTCATTGGTGGGGGAAAGTGATAACTGTTTATTTGTCCCCCCTTATGTTGTGCATATTTGTTTAGGCTTTTCTTTTTGAATAGGCTGTAATAAAACAAGTATGTCTTTTCCAGTGTAGGCCCAGATCATTTTCTCTAAAATCTAAATAGAGTGTCCCTATTTAGAAATGAGGTGGCTTCTTAATAGCAAAGCAATGCGTTATGTGAAATCACATTCCCACAGGGTGGTTTTAAAAGAGATCATTATTTTGCTGCTTTTGCTCCTCATCCCACCTGCAGGATACAGAGCTAAGAGGGAGTCAGCTGCCCATTTTTTTCTCTGTGCATCACCTGGAGCATCTATTCTCAATCAGCTTGTACAGAGGTGTGACCCCTGGCTGTTCTTTTATCTCCAGAGTTAAATACTTAATTCAGTTTCATTAATGATTTAAGAATATCACAATGTTACTGAGGGCAGATTTGATAATGCAATAGAGGAGAGATTCTAGATTATTGTATATAAGCATGCACGGATTAATTTGTAGGGCTGAATTAAAAAGACAATGTGCAGATGATAAAGAGTTATTGAAAGCCAATAGGCATGGAGACAAACAATTCCATTTCTTCAAAGCTGTTTTTTGGAATAGATTTACATTGTCAGTGGATGATTTTATTTGCTTGTATTGAGAAGCCCACAGCTTTCAGATAGCCTGTAGGGTAAATAATTATTGTTCATCTTCCTGACTAGAATGTGGTTGTCTACTCATGTCTAATGTATGATTTATTTACAATATAAAAATAGCTAATAAAGGTAAGACATACAGCTCTCCTTAGGGATATTGTTTTTTCTTTCTTTTTTTTTTTTTTTTGGTCTAGTCTGGGATTTCTCTGTGGGCATTTTAATGCAAGTATCTCATATTTGGAAGATAAATCCTCAACGCAACACAGAGACAATCCTCAGTGGATTTTAGAATTTCTCTTTCAACCAATACATAGTTCTGTTTAAAAATTGCACTGTTGGTCTTCATTATCTTTTGCTGACCTCCTTTCATCTTTTACTTATGCATCTGTTATAAAATCTTTTCTAGGCTTTCCCCTGTCTGCATTCATTCACTTTTATATGCTTTATACTTTTGCACTCTATTTCTTTTCTGATGTCACTGCATATGTGAATGCGGAATAATTCCCCAAACGTATGCCTTAAAGAAGCAAAGAAAAAGAAAGGTAGAGTATTAAATGATTATCCAGAAGGAACATAGTGTTAAAATCTGTATCAAGTGCTGCCAGCATTAACTACACACAGATCTGACTGCAATATTTGCAAAATTAACATAGCAGTGTAATACTTTCATATGTGATCCAGTTATGGCTCTGCATATGGGTAAGAACTGCACAAGTTACAGTACTCATTTTTCATGCTTATTTTTGCCCTTCAAACCACAAATCTTATATATTTAAACCTTAATTGCATACTAATATTGCATAGCTGATTTTTTGTGTTGTGTTTTTTGTGGGCGCATCTAAACACTATGGTGTTGAACCCAGATAAAATGCCGCTCAAAGGTTTCTCTTTCACACATTGTTTTTTATGATTTATATTAGACAAGTGCAATACTTCAAACATCATAGTTCTGAACTTTTGCTAAAGAAAGGTGCCTACAAACTTATTTCTAGGAGGCGTTATGCCTTTCATTCAAAATATAACTGCTAAAGGCAGTTCTGGCCAGGTTTCATCTTTTAAAGCAGTAGGGGGGAAGTTAACTGCGGTATTGAAAGAAAAAAAAAAACATTCACGATCTTTCTGTGCCTATAGCATTCGCACTCATAACCCCCATATTCTGGAGATGAGAGATTGCCCTAGAGCTTGGTTAAGATAGGAATGGGACTGGGAATGGAGAGCATGGAGAGCCTGACTCCCATTGAATGATTATGTGGCATGATTAAATATTCATTAGGCAAGAATGAGAAAGAAACAGATGCTCATGATGCATCACTAGGTGATTAGGCCACCCGCAAATGAAGAGGGAAACTTCAGTTGCAGTCCCTAATCTAATTATTGTTTAAATTATTTAATATTGTATTCACTGTAAAAAATATTTACACAGGAATTGAAGGCTGAGGTCAGGGATGATGTTAGAGCTAGAGCTAAACATACTAAGGTGCAATTACTGCCAGGATCCTTATAAAATGATCCATATCAACTTGGACACTCTTGAGTTATAACAGTTTTCTTATAGGAATCATTTTGAAAACAACTAAATGTGCCCCAGAGAAGAGACCTTTTTTTCCGAGGTTAAGCAGGTGGAGGGGGGCTCCGTGTGGAAGCATTTTAAATGCCTGAGAGCATGAGTCAGACCTCAGTCATTCTTCCTCAGATGAGCTATGTGCATTTACTATAAAAGGCAACCCTGCTTCTGAATTCAGTATTATTTTAATAGATACCATATTCAATTATATGGTTTTAACATATGTGTGTACTGTTTATATGTGGATCACATAAGTTATAACCCTACAAAATGTATTAAACAAATATCTATAATTAAAAAGTATATTAAACATAACAAATGG